TAGAAACAGGACGAGGACAGGTCCTTGAGACAAAATTTGCATGTGTATCGTCCTATAGGTTATAACAGATGGTCAATTGTCATATTTTGAGACAATCCCATTTCATATTTTGAGATTGCAAATTTAAATCTTCTCTTGTATCTTTTTTAGAAGGTTCCCACTTTTGGTTTATTTAAATGAGATTTTTTAAATAATTGGGACACCGCGTCGCTTAATGAATCCTTTTCAAAAGATTAGCATATGTCTCGGCGATCTTTTTCCTTGACGTGCAGTTTGTATCTGAGGTTTTTTTTTGGTCAAACTATTGTTAGGAAATAAACGTGAATATTCTGATTCAAGTTGGTACATAATTTTTAGGGTGCATTTGTGAGGTAAATCACGAGAGTATCCAGTGGTATAACTTCTATCATTCGCAATCATTCTTTTTGTTGACAAAATTGAAAGTCTCATTGAATTACTCCTTTTAATATTGACCATATGGCCTTAAATATTTTTGTTCACCGGGTTGGATGTTTCTGTTTGCGTTGAGACTTCTTTTCTAGAAGTTTATTTCATTATTTCTTTACTAGGCTTACATTGATGAGATGTTTGATTTTTGGAAGCCTTTTTTTTAATTAAAAAAATCCTTTCATTATTTTTCTGTAAGGCTTACAGTGACAACAATTCTAATTATTCGCTTTTGCTATTGTAGGTGGAGATTATTTTTTCAATGTCAAGTTTTTCCCCTTTTGGTTGTTGAACTTGGCTAGAAAGATGTGAAGAGATTTTTATCTATTCCTGTAAGTTTTGAGACTCTTGAAGAAGCTGATATGGTGTACAAGCATTTGGTTTTTCAATATCGTATCAAGAATTGGGGACGTATTACCGGCCTTGGTGTCTATTCTTCCTCTATTATAGGTCTTGCTGATGCAGTAATACAAACTGTCTTCAGCCATAACCATGTATTCACCATCTACCTCTTCTAAAGTCATTGAGCATGATGATCCTCTCAGATGTATAATCAAAATGTTATTTGGTCCAATCTCAGCATTCATCTTGCTTTTGTCGCACAAAGTGATTATGGGATTTAGAAATCGTATCATTTAAAAGAAGCAATATTTTGTTATCTTTTTATCTTGATTATACAATAAGAAAAATACTACCTCCAGTCCTATTTATAAAAACTCGTTTGTAGACTATAAAAGAGATTTTATAAATAGGACTGGAGGTAGTATTTGGTAAACAAAGAAATTTTAATTTCTTGTAACTATATTTTGCTGTCATCTTATCTTGATTGACTTTTATGTCAGATACATTGTTGACTTGCAATGTATTTATGGTGTACCGAGAAACATTATACGAGTAGATGTAATAACGAAAGCAATGAAGGCTGTCTCTTTCAACAAAAAAAAAAAAAAATGAAGGCTGTAATATTCTAATTCCACACGACATTATTACGCCTCCTGATTCAGCAAAATTATGCCTTGTGATTTATCTTTGCTTTTTAGTATATGCAGAAGGTAGCTCTCAATAATAATATGATTATAAACAAAAATCAAGGGTTTAATGACATGCCGAATTCTATAAAATTAAAATCCGATCCATAATAGATTTATTTTATCATTTTTAAATTTAAGTCAGAATTGATTTCTGAAAAATAAAAAAGGCCAAACCTAGAATTTACTGTTCAAAATAAAAAAAATCCATTAAGCTTGAAAATAACATAGCTTTTAAAGAATTGTCTTTAATATTTTTTAAAAAAACTGGAAATATGTTTTCGATAAAAGCATACCTTGAAATATATGATTTTATATGTTGACAACCATTTCTAACTTGTATCATTAAGGCTTATATCACAACTATACATCGCACGTGCCAGTGCCAGGACAATTCATCAAACTTTGGGAATATTTAAATTTTTTTCTTTTCGGTGTATAAGAAGGCATAAGCCCAAAATAAAACTACGCTGCCGACGAATCATATCCCAGGCAATCATGATCGCACAGCGACTTCAAGTGTGGAGGATACGAGCTGACAAGACCCGATTTAGTGAGCCCTTCCTCCCAGTCTTATATCATAAAGGATCTCATGTTTAAAAACACCAGATAGCAAGTGATCCATTTCCTTCCAATGGAGAGCATCGTTTGAAGTCTTGGAATCTGATTCCAAAATGACCCTTCTAAAGCCAAATTCCCACGCTAAATTCAAACATCTCAAAATTGCCCAAATTTAATATTCTGATTCTATAAGTTATGGTTACGTCTTTCAATTCATCTTTGCCTTTCACTATGTGGGGAAACCAATTCCCAATAATGTTAGTTTTCAGGCATGATATAATATGTAGCAGTTTTATGTATGGAAAAAAAAGGAATGTTTCAAAATACTGATTTTAAATGATGAAGGACGCCCCACTAACAAAAACTATAGTATTATTTACAAAATGATTTTTGTAATTGTACGTCATATGTAAATAAGTGAGATTTAGCTGTTATTTCATATTGATTCAATCTTATATGTTGGATAAAGGGCCATCGATTCACTCTTGTGCATTACAGGTTCTGATCTTAATATCCACGCTATAACATTGTCTCATTCTTCGTGCTGTAAAAAAAAAAAAAAACCCGCAAACATTGAGCCCGCACTATGCACGGGATCTGAACTAGTTTAATGTAACTTTTCAGACAAAACTAATTTCCTAACAAAAATATCATTTAGTAATCTTTCAACCAAATATATTAGCTAGCCACCCTTTTTACAAAAATTAAACTGTTTTTAAGCTTTTCAACATGACATAAAATTGATAAATTTGAGATTTTGAAAATTTTAAAGCATGTTTATTTGAACTTGGTTATTTAATAATTTTTACAAAAATATATTTGTAATAATCTTGTTCTTCACCACCATCATCATGTGATCATCTTGAACGTAATGACTTCGCACACACTGTAAAGTCCACTGCAACGTACGCCTCAGCCTTCTGCGAACAGTGTGAGGATAGAAGGAAGAGAAATATCAAAGAACATGTGGCTCTCATATTCTCACAACAAATTAATATGCAGAGTTTATGTAGTTGAGGCATTATTTAGAGTTCCATTTCTCACATTCTCATATTCTCAGGATATGCAGATCTGCCGTGAAGAACCCTCTCGCATGGAGCAGAGTATATGCAGGTTTCTCTCTTTTATATTCTTTCTTTTTTGTTTCTTATTTCTGCCTTTCTCCACCTTTCCTCATGTTATAGCTTCGTCATCACTCATATATGACAGTTTGGTGGTTGGGAAGATGGAATGAAAGTCTTTCTACGGACTTAGATTCTCTCCACTCCTTCTCCCATCCTCTTCCCTCCACTACCCTCTTTGGCCTTTACAACTATTGGATCAAAACTTCAATGGTCCAGATTTAATATTTTATAACATTTTATAAAAATAAATATAATTATAAAAATGGATAAATAAATTTAAACTATTAAAATCTAATTTGAACAGCTCATATCTACAGATTATTATTACAGAGCAAATTTTTTTCAACTTTTTTTATTACAGTTATTAACTGTTTAGACCAGATTTTAACAGTTTAAATTTATTTATTTATTTATTTATTTAATAATATTATTTTTATAAAATGTCAAATCTGAATCATTGGAATTTTAGATCTAATGGTGTGAGGGAAAAAGAGGATAGTGGAGAGGAAGAGGATGGGAAAAGAAGTGGAGAGAATCCAAATCCATCTTTCCACTGAGGGTGTCCTAAAATTAATGTCAAATCCAAAAATCCTCCAGATTGCTTCACATGGAGACTGATATCAGACATCATAGTACATTTTTATTTCATCGTACGCGTGCACCACGTCTGTTCCCGATGAGGAAGAATTTTGCATAAAAAGCTGTTGTTGCTCGATGATGGCCCTTGTTAACATATTTAAATAAATATTTGATTGACTCTCCTTTGCATCTCTCAACATTGATATGTGCCTGGTACTTTAAAAGCAGATATGCATTATAAGGTATGACTTCTATTAACCAATGGGATGCCATTTTTCAGAATTTCAAGACCATTGTTAGGTCTTCTGTAACGGGGATATCCATCTTCATGTATGATAGCAGAAGAACTGAAGCTTCGTGGATCATATTTAGTGCATTCACCATTAGACATACCAAGTGAGTTACGGTTAAGTATGCCACAAGGACCATGCATCATAAAGTTGCCAACAACATCGTATAACAAAAGGTTCTCTTCCTTGTCGGGTATTTCAGCACTGATTACAGCATCAATGTCATCTGAAGTAGCAATTTTATAATCATTGGCCAAGAACAATATGATGTGTGCATGAGGCAAGCCTCACTTCTAAAACTCAATTGTAATGCTGCATTGAAACACAAAAATAATTTTTACGAAGGGTGCTAACCATTAAAAATATAAAACATTGGATTATTTTATTCTCATGACAAAAAATGGAATAATATAAATAATGTGAATCTTTTATTCAGATTACTAACCTACCTTAACGGGGCCGAATAATTGCCCTTCTCTCAGGTACACGGGAGACAATATTTGGTTAGTCCTACAATTTCTGATCGTTTATTTTCAAGTTCCCTAGTTATTTCTGGCCACTTTGGATTACAAGTAAAGGTGATAAAAAGGTCAGGATATCCAGCCCGCATACAAATTATCATAGCATCTGGGTAATTTCCCAGTGTACACCGTGCTCCTCTAGTAAACAATGATGGTACGCCATTGCAACAAAATACACTATTTACCTCCCTAATTCTTGTCTGTTTTCAAAAACAGAGGGAAAAAAATCATTATTCTAGTCTATTTTTCAAAATGGAGGAGAAAATAAATATAATCTCGTCTATTTATACAAAACAATATTCTCGTCTCTTTTATATGAACAGAAGAGAATAACAAGTTACATCTTGTCTGTTTCAAAAAAAAACAAGGCGAGAAGTAACTTTTTTTTTTTATTTTTTTATTTAGTCCTCCAGATTCAGGTCTCTGCCATTTCTCCTCTTTTCCCCTAGCTTGGATATCGCATCGACGCTCTCCCCCTCAGCACACATACCTCGCAAAACCTCTCTCCCTTTACACCTTCTTCTCGGCACATACACACACTCAACAATCTGTTCCCTAAATCCTCCATTTCTCCTATTTTCTTCTTTGCTCGACTACCCTGTAACTTGAACGCACGACGGCTTTATCTTCTTCACGAGATGGACCTAGAGGATGACACGGTGATTTTGGGCTTGATTTGTGATAAGTTCAAAAACTCCTTTTGCTGCTGATTCTAGGTAGCATATGCGTTGATCCTCCATTCTTCTATTTTCTTCTTTGCTGGATTGCCTTCGAACCTGACTCCCTTCTAACCTGGAAGCATGACGGCTTCATCATCTTTACGAGACGCACCTAGAGGATGGCATGGTGATTTTAGGCTTGACTTGTGACATTGTTTCTATAAAAACTCCTCTTCTCCCTGATTTTGTGTAGCATATGCATGTTGTGTAGATGCGTTGATTGAAATGGTTTACTTTATGTTGTGTTCTTGTGTTCAATTTAATTCCTGGTAAAAAATCATAAACATTGATGTTCAAAAGAGATCTTTGGGCAAAGGATTTAAAGATTACAAAACTTGGTAAACTCGTTTAATGTTAATGTACACAAGGTGTTTGTGAAAATGTGTGAGAGAGGAATTTCATACCCTTTCTTTCTTTTTTAACTTTCATGAGTATCAATTCCGTCTTATCTTTTCTCACCGTAGCTCATTTTACTTGTACTTCTTTATGGTATTAGTTATATCCTGGGGTTTTTCAGAGTAGTCTTATGCATCCTTGTGCATGTAATGCTAAAGTAAAGTTTTTGTGAGGATTGAATTTAAATTATCTTATTCTAAAAAGTAATTGTATCATATCGTTCTTCCTGGATTTTGAACTAGACTGTAAGTGAGCTACAAATGGATGGTAAACTTTTTGGACGATGCTGATCAGATGGGTTAGTATTGATCAATTATTATGCAAATTTATCATCAAATATATGTACGGTGTCAGACTTAGCTTCCTCACTTAGTTGATTATTTTATAGTATCTGTTATTCATTAGAATGTATCAATGCCTAGGCCTACTTCAGAATTGGAAGATCAATGATTCAAGACTAATATTGTATTTTAATAATAACAAGAAAAAAATTGTTTGTATGACCCACCATGACTAATCAGGCTAGATTATTAGAAAGTGATTGTCCAACCTTGTTCAAAAGTGTTGGACTCTTAAATTAGTTTCTTCCTTCTTTTTTTCAGAGCATAGAGCACTCAATGGAGTCAATTCATATTCTGTGATGTGAAGATTAAGTTCTTATCCTTTCTTAACCATGTGATTGATGTGTGTCATTAAGTAATCTATTTTTAACATGTTCATGAACTTTCTTTGGAAGGGTTGGGTTGAGCCTTGTTCATTAGAAGTATGGGAATCAACATAAGTTTTGTTTGAACATTCTTAAAATTGCTTTTAGACTTGCATTGAGAAGTATGGCAATCAAAGGAGGTTTGCTTTTATCCATCCCCACAATACTTTATTCTTTAATTTTTATAGTTGCTTGTCTTGACTATAAACCATCTGGTTTATTTCTATAATTGTTTATGCAGGGGAGAGTTTGGGAAATGGGTAGCCTTTATTGCTGTCGTCTTACGGCTTTTCTTTTTGAGACATTTCCCTGGTAATTCTATATTTATCACTCATTAATCATTGAAGAATTTCTCATTACAAAATAGTGCCACTTGATTATCTTGCATTTTATTGTTAATCATGAATACAATTGACCCTATTCAGGAGGTTAAAAACGTGGCAGCTCTCAAAGAATGAATTCAAAGAATGATATATTCTATTCACACAGTCAAACAATTACCTGTTAGAACTTGTTGGCACCACATTTTTTCTTAGAAGTACCAAAAGCTTCAAAATATGATTTCACTTGTGTTGGTATAGTTTACTTGTATTGTGGTTTTACTTGTGTTAGATACTTTTATGTTATTTTAGTATGATTTGACATTATTATTGTGACTTTTGAGTACTTATAACACTTGTTATTAATGTGCATATATGTGTGTTGTGATTTGGATTATTATGTCTTCATTAATAATTCTTTTTGAGGAGGTACTTGTGTAATGCTAATAAGGCTTTTTTTTTTTTTGGGGACTGGAAGTGATTTAAGATGTGATTTAAAATTTTAAATTACTTCCAATCCAACAAAAAATGCCTCTTTTTTTTTTTAACTTTAAATGTGACTTTTACATCTATTTTTTAAAACAAAAGTTAAAAAAGGGCCTTTTCTTCTGTCTGTTTTTAAAACAGACATAAAAAGTTGACACTTTTTATGTCTGTTTTAAAAACATACATGAGAAGTCCTACTTTTCACGTCTGTTCAAAACAGAAATAAATGAGAAAAGACCTATTATATCCCTTCTTTTTATATCCCCTGAAAAATGGACGTAAAAAGTCCTCCAAAACAAAGTTAAAAAGTGTTTTTTAGTGGTAGTGTAGTATAACCCATTTGTTTGAATAAAAGTTGATAAGATTCAATCATCATATATGCATCAACAATCAATTGTTGGAATAACTTGGCTCCTCATAATATGGTTGAAAACTCATTGTCCCTAGATTGGATGTTGTAAGCAAAATATTCTTGTATTGATACAATTTTATTGCCAACCTGAAGATTTCTTTTTATCTGTGCATAGGGTATGCCTTCTCTATATCCACCCTTACCTAATGGAAACAATAATGGATATTGTAGTGGAAGGAAATCAGGATGAGTTTCCTTGATCTTGTGTAGTTGCCCTCACTTATACGGAACTTCTATGTCCCTGCCACAATTTGAATCTCCAATATCTCCAACAATAAGTGCAGCTACTTCATTTTGTGCCAAGGCATATTATACTAACATGTGCCAGTTCCTTATTTATGTATGAGCTTAATTCTTATCTCGTCTTTCATTTTTGTTGATGAAATCACGAGCTATGCGGAAAGTTCGAACCAAACGGTTGTGTCTGTCCAGCATATTTTGAACAGTGTGCACAATATCAATATCCACTCGTGGCATAGTGCCATCCTATGTACTGAAACAAATTAAAAAGCAATGCATATTGCACATAGTCAGTTTATAATAAAGCTGAATATATTCATGGACTCAATAAACAAGCCAAAGATATAGAATTTACTTGACATTACCTGACAACAGATAGTCTAGGAGGCATCCCATCAAGAAGAAGAATACTACCAATAATATGCGTGTTTTGGCTACCTATTCTAAACACATATGGCTCATGACCATCGTTGATCTCACAATCAACCCTTGCGCCCGTAGGAGTAAAGGTGAACATGGAGTTAAACATCCTAATATTGCTTTGGAAATACTTGCTCTTTGAAGTAATAGTAGTGTTCTTAGTTCTGCAGGCTGTTCCTTTGGAGGTGCAAGTTTAACTTTTACTTTTCCTTGTAGACAAAACATGCTAAAACTGGGATTTCTATCATTATAATGCTTCGCCAGTCTTTCATTATACCATCTCCTCGCATTGCGATATCAACACTTATATGCCGGGTCCCAATACCATGATATTGAGGTAAAGATGGAATAAAACACGCATTAAGGCTTCGCCCAAGTCAGACTATAATGGAAATGGCACTAATAGAAATAAAGGGCAAATCACGCGATCTTATATGATATAATAATTTAAAAACCTGATATTATAAATCAATAAACTACATTATTATATCATATCAGTTATATGATATAATAATGATTTTCTGGCTAGAAAAAGTTATAATAAGGATTAAAAAATGAGAGAAATGCAATTTTATTTTATGTGTTTGTTATTTTCAGTTTAAATATTACTACCATAAGTTTGGACTGAAGTTGATTAAATTGAAAAATCATATGTTTAAGTGATAATTTTATCATATAATTTTATCAAAAAATTAGAATGCTTGAATGGTTATTATATTATATGATCATCTAATTATATCGTATCGTATGTGAATAACCTAGGAACATGAAAACCTGTGTCAGTTTTTTAAACGTTTTGTATTTTTATTAGAAAGAAATATTTATCTGTAGAAATTTATTTAACATAACATACAAAATGATATTTAAAAAATGTACTATTTAACTATATACCAAAATTATTTAAATTTGTCCATATATGTGTGTCTGTATATGTGCCCTTGCACTCGTGCGCGCGCCCGCACATACGCGACTGCTCATGTTGAGAACGAATGTGCATAATCATGCCACCATCTCAAAATTTCTTCCAATTAAAATTGATTGTGTAGTTTATAAATTATTATTAAATTTGTGCTCACCATTATTCTCTAATACACTATAGATATTTTAATAATCTTTCAATATTTAACAAAAGATAAGAATTATTTTTCCTTAAAAAAATGGCATTCAATTTAAAGACTATAAAGATTATATTATTTTATCGTATTACTTATACGATATTGATGATTAGTTGATATTATATGTTTTTTCATAAAATCGAAGTAAGATTTGATACTGTATTGTTTTACCCATGAGATAAATTATTAATTTAAAGACATTAAAATACCGTTAGCAATAAAAGAATTATGAACTTAGCGAAGTAACTTATATATATATTTACATATTTTAAACTGTCTTAAATTATATGTAAGAATTTTAAAGAGGCACATACACACGCATACCTATTTATAGATACACACCAGACACGTTACTGGATGATGAACTGGGCCGAAGACCTCAAATATTTCCACGAACTGAAGGTCTATTAACACATTGTGGTCGATCAAAACCTGCTAAATTGCCTGTCATCATCATCAGTATAAAGTTCAATTTAATTTTCAAAGTGAAAGTCATAAAAAACTGGTCTAATATATGCATTATAGGGATCTAAAGATAGCATTGGTGACTGGACACTCAAGCGAGAACAATGCACCAGTAATTTGACGTGGTCTAGTAACTTGAGTTTGTCGACGTACCTCAATTCGAAATGCTCTTGCTAATCATTAGTTTGTAATATGAAATATTAGGTTATAATATTAGTTATCGAAATAGTAAGATAATGACATTAAAAAAAACGTCAATTAATTAGCCTCAATAATTTTCTTCTGAACAATTGCCTTTTGCCCCAAGAACGCTGTCATATTTACCATCTGGTTGCATTCTATGGATACTTGACTGATTATCATTTTCTTCCATATTCTATTGCGAATGCTGGTTTTTATCAATGAGTATGATGAAGGGCTAGACTTTTAGGGCACATGCATGTAGCTTCACTGAAGGTAAAACAAATGAGATTATATATCACAATTGGTGGCTATGGGAGAATTTGACAGCTTACCCTGTAACATTCCATTTTTTTTCCTTTATCTTATGATAGGATTTAAGTTATATGGTTATGAGATTAGTTAATATTATTAGAATTAAATCTTATTGAATAACTTGAAAATTATAATTTCAGTAATATATAAATGATATATATAAGAAAAATAAAAATAAAAAATATATATACATATTATATTATATTTTATTATTATTATATATAATATAATATATTATAACAGTGGGTGGCACGTGGCCACCCACTGTTCGGTTGGGGGAAAGGGAGGGTTGATCCCGTGCCCTTTCCCTTAATCTCAAAAAAAAAAAAAAAGGATGAGAATTTGGAGTGAAATAGTGGGTCACGTGGCCCACTATTTGAATTGTTTTTCCCCGCCTTTCATTTGGAGAATCCACACACCCACTTTCTTTTCCACCTCCCTTTTTCCTCCTCCCCTGTTCGTGTTCTTTCTCCGCCGCTGCACAATAGTGAGCGAGAGTGAGTGAGTGTGAGGAATAGAAAGGAGTTTGCTTGGGGATTCTTTTGGGATATTCTGGTAAGTTATTCTCATCCTGTCTTTTTTTATTTACCTTATTCTTTTATTTTCCTTAGCTTATGGCAGAAGAATGAATATTATTTTAGGGCTTGTTAGATTTTTAATTTTTGAGGTTGCTAACTTATTATTAGGATATTAATGGAGCTTATGTGGTTAGAATAAGAGTCTTATGACTTAGACTTTTAGTTAGATGGTTGATTTTAAGCAATATAAGTTAGGGTTTAGTTGGAAAATAGTGATTAGTGTTAATGATGATATTAATTTCGAAATTTATCTCTTAGTTGAGTTCATTTGAGGTTATATTGAGGATTTAATGCTTGAACTTTGAGGATTGTTGTTGTAATAGTAATGATGATTCTTGGAGAGACTTTAACTAGTAGAAGTTGGGTGTTTGGAGTAAATTGAGAAAAATATTATAAGTTATTGATTCTAATGAATGGGAAATGATTAATGGAAGAAGGGAATAGGATTTTAATAATGATTGAAGGCATAGTTGATATATGGTTATTTTTCTAAGAGTTAAAGTAAGCACTTTTTGGAGATTTTTAGATGATTTGAAGTGATTATTCTTATTAAATAATGTGAATGAGAGAAATAGAGTTGGGAAGTACTAGAAATTATCACTTGGAAGAATAGATGAACTATTATTTTTCCTAAAGATAATTTTTTTAAAAGTAAGCCAATTATGGGGATTTAGTTAATAAACCATTTTAATACTATATTAATTAGTCTTTTTATATTAATATATGTTTATCAATTTATTATTGTAGAGTGAGCTTGGTTTGGGCTCTTGGGTCTTGAATCCTCCTACTTTTAGTTCTTGTGTCAAGAACTTGAGGTAACCACTTTCTAATTTACCTTGTATGCTTGTTGATGTGATTATAAGTATGTGTTGATATTATAAATATTATCAATATGTGTTATGGTGGTTTTTGTATGAAAAGTAATTTATATATCTATATCAAGATTTATGTTTTGATAAATTTATTAGTTAAGTGGGTATGAATTATTTCATCTTATGAATATCTTGTTGATATTGAGCGAATTTGATTATTGAATTTGAGAATACTTTATGGATATTGAATTGTGTGGAATTGGATGGTTGGATTGTGCTGTATTGGTTGTGCTGAAATGTAATTGTGGGAGGTTTGATTATTTATACCACGTGGTATAGCCGCCACTTGGCGCCTAGTGGTTGACATTAACATTCTTAGGGCCCTCGGTATCACCCTTCCTTTGGCCGGGTCAAGGGTCAGCCCAAGGGACATGACACCTTTCCATATTCCAAGGAAAAGGAACCCATGGTCCAATATGAGCTCTGTAACTTTTGGCCGAGTTACACCTCATTATTGGAGAGCTTGGTATAGTCTTGTGAAAGAGACGAATCCTATTACATGTGAATAGCCTATGGGTTCTGTCAGAGGTTACAAGGAGGTTATAAGGATAGTTGAGGAAGTTCTGTGCATGCAAGTTACTTTTTGAATTATTATATGTTGTTTTCTGTAAAGATGTTTCACTTATATGTTATTTGAAATTGTACTTTGCCTGCTTAACTATCTTGTAATCACTCCCTGTATACTTGATGAATTGGAATTGTGGTTACTGGGTCAATTTGACTCACCTCGTGGTTATTTAACATTTTTCAGGTGAGGGTTCAGGTGTTGGTCCCAAGGGGAAGGTGTCCGAGGCTTGAGTTTTCCTTTCCACTCTGTATAGCCTCTGTTTTGGTATACATGATTTGATTGATGTATATTGCCAAACTTTAGGGCCTTTTTGTTATACTTAACATAATCATAGCCTTTTTGCTGCATTCTAGACTTGTACTATTGGGTGGAGCCCTTTTTGGACATATATGATTGTTATTTTGATTGCAATTGATAATGGGCAGTAGTGGTAGTTATTTTGGTGGACTTCAAATGCCCTAGCCCATTTACAAGTGGTCTTAATTGTATTTGAGATTTCAGAGTATTGCTGATGGATTTGATATATACATGAAAAATCAAATGTTGATCCTTTCTTATTTGATTAACTATCTTTACTATTCTAGAATAGTAGCTACTGTTCTGTTAAAGATTTGAATTGTTATTGACTATGTTAGATTCTATTTGATTAGGTTTGTCCTTCTTATCATGATTAGCCTTTTAAAGTAATCATCGTTTTGAAAATGTTTATTTACCATGAATTACGGGGGTTGTTACATATCCAATATATGGGAACATGCAACACGCGACAAACACTTGAAATGAATGGTAGGAAGATTAGAGCAAATAGTCTAAAT